TGTGTGCGTGTGTGTGTGTGTGGAGTAAGTCAGGAAACTTCCCTTAAAATTAATTCGGTCGCACGATCCACAGACTGTTTGTGGGGACGTCGTTGGGCGCAATTGGGCTGCCGCGTTTCGCCCGCGAAACACACAGTCACTACGCTTTACGGTGAATCCCCGGGAAGCGCACTGAGACGTCTGGACGAGGTGATAAGGCGCCGGGTCAAATGCGAGGGTAATCATCATCAATAATAATAATAATAATAATAATAATAGGAGAGAACGCGTTGAGTGCATTGACTCTGGTCATAGGTAGGAGGTGCTGCAGACCTGTCGATGCGACGGTTGAGAGACAGAGAGCGAGAGAGCGCACGAGACAGAGAGAGAGAGAGAGAGAGAAAAAAATGACTTTGCGGAATGCGGAAAAGCAGGTTCTTAAAAAGCTTCGCAAACTTGCTTGTAACTTCCTACCCAACGAGAGAGAGCGAGAGAGAGCGAAGAGAGAGAGAGAGAGAGAGAGCGAGAGAGCGAGAGAGCAACCCTCCCCTCCCGGACACAAATGCTCTTACACGCTTTCTACAAGAGCCGAACACCAAGAGATCGCCTGATCTTTGGAGGAAGGTCCGAATGAAAATAACGACTTATTTGTGAAAGCTTCGCTCTCCGTCCGTTTCTTTCTCTTTCTCTCTCTCTCTCTCTCCCACTCTGTGGTGTCTTTCTCCTTCTGTGTCTCTCGGTCACTCACTCTCACTCTCTCTCTCTATCTGTTTCCCTCTGTGTGCGTCTCTGCCTCCGCGCGCGCGCGCGTGTGTGTCTCTCGCTCTGTTTCTGCGTTGTCCGTCACTCTCAGCGCCTCTCGTTGCGTGCGTTTGCGCGTGTCTGTCTCTCACTGTCTCTGTGTGTGTGTGCGTGTGTTTCTCTCTCACTGTCTCTCGCTGTGTCTGTGTCTCTCTCTCTCGCTGTGTGTGTGTGTGTGTGTGTGTCACTCGCTATTTCTCTCTGTGCATCGGCGATCCCAACAGCAAGTCGGTGCTTGTCTTGCAAGGAGAGGAAGAAACGAGACAGACAGAGAGAGAGAGAGAGAGAGAGAGAGAGGGAGACGGTTGCTTTGATACACCACAGACACGCACACACACACACAGACATAAAACACCACAGACACAGACACACCACAGACACACACACACCACACACACACAGACACACACATACACAAACACACCACAGACACAGAACACCACAGACACACATACACACACAGACACAAACACACCACAGACACAACACACCACAGACACACACACAACACACAACATAAACACACACACAGACACACACACACACACAGACATAAACACACACAGACACACACACACACAGACACACACAGACACAGACACACAGACACAGACACACACAGACACACAGACACACAGACACACACATACACAAACACACCACAGACACAGACACACCACAGACACACATACACACACAGACATAAACACACCACAGACACAGACACACCACAGACACACACACACACACAGACATAAACACAACACAGACACACACACACACACACAGACATAAACACACCACAGACACACACACACAGACACACACATACACACACACACCACAGACACAGACACACCACAGACACACACACATACACAAACACACCACAGACACAGACACACACACACACACACATACGCACACAGACACCACACACACATTCGCTCTTCTCCGAATTCTAATAATCACCATAACAATAATTATATATGAGGCGGCACCTTTCACGTCGGGAGGAGATAGAGAGGAGGAGGAAGGCAGAGGGGAAGAGAGAGAGAGAGAGAGAGGGGGGGTGTTGCAGAGAGTGAGAGCGAAAGACGGGAGAGACGGCGAGGGAGAGAGTGAGGGAGAGAGTGAGGAAGAGAGTGAGGGAGAGAGTGAGGGAGAGTGAGGAGAGGGAGAGAGTGAGGAGAGAGACACGGAGAGAGAAGGAAGAAGAGAGGGGGTGCGAGAGAAAGACGGTGTGAGAGAGAGAGAGAGAGGAGAGGGGAGGGGGCGCGAGAACGAGAGGCTGAGAGGGAGAAGGAGGAGAATTAGCGATGACATAAAAACAACCGGAATATCCTATTTCAATATATTATTTCTGTATAAATATTACATCTGATACACATAGAAGAATACATCTTATTTTTGGCAGAATTTCAAACACTCTTGGGGCACGCACTTAAACCCAACTGGAAACTGGTTAAATGTATATCCCCCCCCACCGCCTTCCCCCCCTTTCCCCCTCCCCACCTCCCTCCCTCCCCTAAAAAAATAAAATTTCTAAGAACACTTTCTCTCTCCGTGAAGGGATTCTCTCAGGAACAGCTCTGAACGTAATAATAATAATAATAATCCTTTGATACTGCGCTTTATCGCGTGGTCGGGACGTCTCAAAGCGCTTCACGGGATACACTGTAAAAGTGTAGTGACTGTGTACATTTCGTGGGTGACCCGCGACAGCCGATTACGCACAGTAGTGTCCCACAAACAGTCGTGGATTGAGCGACTAAATTACTAATATTATTATTTTCTTGGGAGGGAATTCGTATCGCCCGGAAAAACGACCTCTGCGAATCGACAGATAACTCCTCTCTATTTTCCTTTTTCTTTCTTTCTTTCTTTCTTTCTTTCTTTCTGTCTCTCTCTCTCTCTCTCTCCCCTTCGTATTTACAAACGAGAAACCTGGGAACCCGTTTTCCTGCCAAGACGATCCGATCCATGGCCGCTCTTTCACCCCAAGTCGTGTTTATATATCCTTTGTGTCCAAACCAACCCCCTCCGCCCACAACTCTCTCTTTAATTACCTTTAAAATCCCACGTCAAGACCTTCCTCTCCCACCGGGCCCGAAATAACAACCCTCCCATCGGACGCGGCGCCCGATCAGGTCTTCGAGACGTCTCAAAGCGCTTCGCAGGATACTCCGTCCGAGCGAATCGACCGGATATTTCGTGGGAGAATCGCGCCCGGCGGCGTCCTGACGATTAAAATCATTTTTTTTTCTTTTTTTGGAGGGGGGGGGGTCACTGCCCCCCGGAAAAGCGAGCCGCCAACCCCGCCCGCCCGCCCGCCCGCCCGCCCGGGAACCGAATCCGGATCCTCTCGTGAGCGCCAACTGAAAGCGATAAATGAAATCGTTGGGAGTTGAGGCACAGAGCAGCCGGGATGGCAATAAAATAATGACACACGAGAATGATTTGATCGCCTCAGCTGCCGGGCGCTGCCGTGCGCTGCCGGGCGCTGCCGGGCGCTGCCGTGCGCTGCCGGGCGCTGCCGTGCGCAATTGGCTGACGCGCTTCGCCCACGAAATGCACAGTCGCTTCACTTTACGACGACAGCAGCAACAACAAAATGACACGGGTATAAGGTGCCCTTCACCTCAGGAGGACGGCAGTGCGAAGGGTTTGAGACGCCTCGAAGACACGATAAGGCACTGCATCAAATGCAAAGATTATTATTATTAT